GTTGGATGTCAAGTAATTGTATTGAAAAGTGTGGTTGAGATTGAAAACAATATTTCTCTTCTTCTGTCGTTTCTTTCTTCTTCTTTTACGCCTTTCCGTTCATTGAGATCACCACTCTATCCCTTTTAACCCAAGTTAGGCCGAGTCTTCGAGCTTCTTCCTCAGCAATGAAGTTATGCGTTGCCCCGGTATCGACCATCGCCTTAGTTACTTTCCCGTTGAGTTGGGCATCCACGTACATCAACTCTCTCCCCGTTGGCTTTCCCTTTGGTTTTGTTGACAATGCATTAAGGAGTTGCAATGATCCCAACATTGCTGCCTTGTCATCCGATTCCCCTCCGGATTGACCTCCTTCCAATATTGCACTCAACGATCCGAGTTTTGGACATTCCTTCATCGGGTGTGGCCCCTTGCACAAAAAACACCCTCCCTTTGGACTGAAGGTTTTCTTTCGTTGCTCGTACTCATCCCGGCTCGAGCCTTTCTTGGATGCCTCAGAGTACGCTTTTCTTGATTCCTGGCTCGCTGCTCGTTCTTCCCTCCTCAGAGTAACGAGTCGTGAACCAGCATCTTCCCCAACACTTGCCGAATATCCCTCTTGCCTCTCATAGGAACGAGTCTGTCATGGAGGGTAAGATTAGACAACGATTCAGCAGCCGTGATAGCTTCATCCAATGAACGTACTCCTCGCCTTTACAACTATTGATTTGCCCAACTTTGTAACCCGTCGATAAAGTGAAACACCGAGTCTTCTTCTGTCAAAGTCGGGATTTGCAACATCAATGAAGTGAAGTCGTTCACATAGTCGCGGATCGTACTACGTTGTCAAAGTTCCCTTAACTTCTTCCGAGCTTGGTACACCACGTTCTCCGGATGTAATTGCCACTTCAAGTCCTTCTTGAACTCGTCCCACGTATCCATCCGAGCAACACCAAGCTCGATCTCTCCGTATCGTCTTGTCCACCAAAGCATCGCCGTGTTCGCCAAGTACGATGCAGCGGTCTTGATCTTCGTCGGCTCATCCGTTAGACCAAGATTCTCACAGTATTGATCCATCTCCCACAAGAAGTTCTCAACTTCTTTGGGGTCCCTCATGCCATTGAATCGAGATGGTCGTGGGTAATCGACCCTTGCCGAAGTTACTCCGGTGATCCCAGCTCCTCCGTTGACAGTTGCTCGCTTGTATAACGCCAAGTCTTGCTCCATCCCCTCGATGTGGGTCCGCATCCCCTCGACGCATTCCCACAATTCTTGGATAGCTCCCATCATCGTTTCTTCCAGACGAACAAAGCGAGTATCGGTCTCGAACGTATTGAGTTTGACCATTTCAAACTCATCAAACGAGTACTTCTCCAACTCGAAAGAAGCATGCTCGACCCTTTCGAGCCTGTCACCAAGACCCTCCACGGCACGGGTCAACACCTCACATGCAAGGCTCTTATCTCGTTTGTTCCCCCCTTGGGCCAACGAGGCTTCCCTCCCATGCTCCTTGGCAACTACCTCAGCATTCTGACCATGCTCCTTAGCTGCCTTGGATGTGTTGCTTCCGTCCCTGGCCATACTTCTTGCTCTCACACTACTTCTCAACTCCTTGGTCGAAACCTTGCTCTGATACCACTTGTCACGCCCCGATTCTTGATAATCGGTTTGTGCGGCCTTAGCAACGTTCACCCCTCGTGAAATGCTAAGTAAGCCTCACCCCGAACTTGAACTACAGACTTAGAGAGAGAAAATAAACACTTAGAGAGATAAAGTAAAGCTTTATTAGAGAAATGCTTGGATGATTTACAAATGAGGGAGTCTACCCGTTTATATACAAGTTCACCTCCCTAGTGGACGGTGGAGATTGAATCGATCTAATGGTTGAGATTGATTCTCTAAGATCCTTCTAGATATTATACTTCCTCTCCAAGGCTTTGGACTTGCTCTCCAAGTCTTCTAGATCCTTCCGGCTTTGTCTCCAAGTCTTCTAAAATCTTCTGGAATATGCTACAACACGAGAGAGAGTAAGGAATGCTTGAAAAATGCTAAGTGTGGGAGCCCGAACCTCCCGGATCTGTCATTTCCGTCCAAGTCACGCCTATGGGAAAAATTAGGGCGTGCAGTGTAGTCTTGTATGTCCTTTTTAACTAGATGTCTTCCATTTGCAGATAGAAATCTTGCGGATCTTTACCAGAAGGTAAACCGCATCATCTCTAATATATACTACAATTCAGCCCACACACTTTAAAGAAACTGGCTTGCATAAAAGATATGATTTCCTTTATGCAAAGGATACCCTTTAATACCATGATGGTTATCACCAGGTGCAATGATTAAGAGAATGCTCGATCCAAATCCAGTCACAAGGATCACAATCGTTGGTCTTGAAGCTAGCAAGTGGTACAAACACGAGTACATACTTTTTGTATCCTCAAAATGTATTAGAGAGGAGAATAAGTTTGAGAAAATTATATATTAAGCCATGTCTAGTAACAATTTGTGTATGGACTGCCATTTTCTTTGCGGACTTCTCCCGCCTGCCACAAACCATAGATTGAAAGACCAGTTTGCCCTCTCTTTAATTTACCCTTCAAAAGCCTAGAGTTCTATGCAACTAAAACGACAAATTCTCTCCTCTGTCTCTTTTCTTCTTTTTTCCTTTTCCTCTTTCTTTCTCCGATAACAAACCAATGCATTTCAGATTCCACCGACTTTTGCTCTAGCAAAAGGATATCAATAAGCTATGCAGATGTTGCGTAGAGGTGGTTTGCTGCATCTCTGATGGGTCAATTCGATGTACTAGATCTGGTGGACCATATCCAGTGAACCAGTTCGATGTACTAGATCCGGTTTATCCTACAAAGGGGTATCAATCAGCTTTGTGGATGCTCCCCATATCCGACGAGCCAATTCTGATGGACAAGATCTGGTGGACCATATCTAGTGAACCTGTTGCGGTGAGTCAAACTTTTCTATATTTACTAAGTATTCGTGTTCACCGATCTTCTGAAGCCATAAGCGATCGACCAGATGATGAAACAAGTGATGCGTCTATGCAAGATATCATCTACGATCCATCTAGCTTTACACTGTGGATCACACATTTTTCTATAGATAGACCAGATCTCGTGGACTAGATCCGCTGGACCAGATTAATCCCATGGATCAAATGCGCTGGAGCATATCCGATGTCTTTATTTTGTTTTCTAACTTGTTGTTCATCATACATATATAGTAAATTAGGTCCATTTTTTTTATAAACAAACTTGTCTATAATACCTATGTAAACTTGTCCACAATCGTGGGTAGACAAAAAGTAAAAGGGTCTCATTCCATGTCATCCTTATATTAGTAGAAGAGAAGTACAAAATTCTCTTCGGGTCGGGTTAAATTAAAATATAACACGAAAGAATTAAATTGATAAATGGATATGTAAATAGTTTTGGGTTAGATCCATAGGCGAATGTTTTCCTTAATCGTTTATAAAATTGTGTCATTAATCCTATAATTGTGTCATTAACCGTTTCTAAATTTTTTTTCTTAAAATTGGTTTTATTCTCTCGAAATTAATTAGCATTAATATAATTTCGGAAACTATATTAATTATATACTATTCCAAAAATTATAAAATAAATTCATATGATTAAGGAAACTATATAAATGTTACATTATTATATTTTAGAAAACTATATTAATGCTAAAAAAAATATGTCTTATAAGGAAAAAAATATGTTTATGAATATAAAAGATCTCAATCTTTTAAAAATATTCTAATTAGAATAAGAAATACTTATACGAAACTAAAAAACAAACATCATTCCCTTAAACTGGAGACAACAAAACCAAACCAAAACTGAATTGGAGACATCAATAGAATGTTTAATGACTGTAGAAATTAGGAAAAACTAGAAAGGAGGAATGAATTATAAGTTGATATAATAATATGAAAATTATATTCTAAAGAGGTCCTGAGAATACAAGGAGCAAAGGAAACTAAAAATTAATTATAAGAACTCTAATGATTAATTCATGTAATTGGAGCACTATGTTACTTTTAAACCTATATTTACAGCCGCTACACATTGTTTTTTTATCGTATAAAGATGGAATAATAGATAATGGAGGAACAAACCTTCTTCTTCTTCTTCTACTTCTTCTTCTTCTTTCCACAAGTTGTGTTGTGTAATATATCAATAACACAATAGCACAAAAAACAAAGATCCGTGTTTTAAATCAGTCCATCACACATCGCCTCATCATCCTTTGTAACCACCACCACCGCCGCCATAACCACCCCAGATATGTGGCCTCCACCTCTTTCGCCACCAAAGTCGTCGCCAGATGAATCACCATCGTTGCAGCCCCGGCTCAAAAAAATTTTAACCCCTAAGGCGAGTTACATAAACAGTCCCCTAAACACATGCTAATAGAGTACTATATATAGAAAATCATTATACTTCATGTCTTGAGCTGCTCCAAGTTTGCATCATATAATATGCTGCACTCCTCTCTGATGAATCCTTCTTTGAATCTGAAAGATAAACCCAATAATTATTCCAAAAAGCGGTTTTTCCGAAGAACTTTAGCTGATGCAAAATCATGAATAACAGTATCAAAATCCATTCACCATTGGCTAAAGCTCTATCGAGTTTGCGGATGATGGGGTTGTCTTGTTGGTGATTTGACAAGGTGTAGAAGATACCTCGAGAAGGTAAATCCACCAAATTATTTTCTCTAAGACAAGCTTGAAAGTCCTCAATACCACTCAAAGCCAAGGAGGTGTGTTCATTAGTTGCAGCAATTTGATTAAAATCACCCATCAACACCCAAGGAGAATCACAAAGAGGAGACGAGACAACAAGATTAGAGAGATCCTCCAATAAACGTCTCCTCTCAATTAATGTGTTCCTTGTATAGATGAAAGATACAGGAAAGCATTGATTAAGATCAGGGAGTTTCATAATACACATTATCAGCTGGTCAGTGTTTTTGAGGACAAGAAAAGACATTAAAGGATCTCACACAAGCCAGATTATGTCCAAGTCTGAATACCCATAGTTGTTATCCATTCTCCAGCCGGGAGTGGCCGCAGCCAGCACATATTGGGAGTTTGATTCAGTAACACGAGTTTCCAAAGAAGCACCGATTAGAAGATTGTTGAGGGGAATCCATCTCCTTATTACACGTTGACGAGAATGGCTATTTAAGCCTCTAACATTCCAGAAAAACATCGTCATAATACTACCAAAAAGTTGTACCCAAAAAACTTTCAACATAGGTAAGAGGCTCCTCTGGAGAGGATGGACTAAGACGGCTGATCTGACTCGATTGTGCCAGATATTCTTTAGCCGTTTCTTAGCTTTTGGAGAGAAATTATCCCAACCAAATGGCATGCAAGAGTGCCTCTTCCTTGATCTTGATCTTATTTTCTTAGCCTTTGCCTCAGTAGAATCCTCTCTAGAAACCTCATTGATAGGAATATTTCCTTGAGGAACTTGAGGATCCTGGAGAATAATAGTAGGGTGTGTAACCTCTTTCGAGCCGGATGGGATATCCTTTTTGAAGGGGGTTTTTTCCATAAGGGGCTTGGGGCAACAACTCAATAAGTGTCCATACCGACCGCAATTGAGACATTTTGGAGGAGGCCTAGGATACTCGACGGCTACACGAGGAGGAACGTTTCGGAGAATACAATTGAGGAGGAACGTTTTTCAGAACCGCCCAAGTTGGGGGTGTTTGGAGCTCTTCTAATTTGAGAGGACCATCCAGGGACCACAGGTAGACTGTGCAGGAGCAATTGACAGTGTGCTAGAAACCCGCGTTGCAGGTGACGAAATGAAGATGAGAGCCGCAGTTTCTGAGATAATTCGAACTGTTAAGTTGCCACATCTACCCCATATCGGATTCAAATCTGTGAATATCTTCGATGAGGGAGGGCATAGTCCGTGGAACTGAGCCATAATGTGGCCTTTCCACATCTCAGCCGACTTTAAGAGAACCGAGGGAGGAGCAATAACAACGGGAGTATCATCATCAAGGTAGGTAGGAGGATCCATCTGTTTTAAATTCCTAAGCGAAGCCTTGAACTTTGAGGCCCAATGTAATTCAGATTTTGGAGGAGAGGTGACTGGAACAGAGGTTGCCCCATATTCGATAATCGGGGCTATTCTAGCGACTGCAGGAATTGCAGAACCTGGAGGAATGATTTAAGGTTTTGTGGAGGACTCCTCGAACACCTTTGCTTCTGATGAGGATGAACCAAACATCTCCTCGGGAGTCAGGGATAGCGTATCCTTGACTACAACCGCAGAGGAAATAGAAGACTGAGAATTCCAAAAATTGGAGCAGGTACATCGATGGGCACACTGGGAGATGAAGGAAGCGTACCATCTTCTCAACAACAGTGGCAGAAATAGGAGAAGAAGAGCTGGGATTGATTGAATCGGCGTCCACAGTAACCAAGGGCATGGGAGCCAGAGTCACGGCAGAAGAGCAAGCTAGAACTCGAGAGAACTTCGAAACAGGTGGAGGGTGTCTAGACCGAGAGAGCTTCGCCTTCCTCTTGGCCATCGCCGAATTCTCATCAACCGGCGTAAGGCCAGCCGATTGCGGCTTTTAAATTTTTTTCGTTCTTCTAATCGCCTTTTTTGCCGTTTATGAGGAACTTTTTTCTTCTAGGTCATTGAGCATAAAATATTCTTTATATTATATTTACTAAATCACTATATTTATTAAGTGTATACTCTCTAAGTTTTTTTTAAATTAGAAATTCAGTTAAGTAAATCAATATTACGATTGTTATCATAGGAAAATTTGAATTTTAAGCCGTAACTATTTTTATCAAATTTAAAAGCTAATTATACTCCTATATAGGGATTTGAAATTTCTCATTTTTCAGTTATAGTCACTTTTTAGGCCGTGATTCAATTAAATATATTTAATTATACTTCTTTTTTCAATTAGCACTCATTTTTCATGATTTTTTAAAAACTACATGGGTCTTTCCGTGTTGGTTCTTCACAACATACATTGTAAGTCTGTTATTTGTTTAATACATGTTTTTTTAATATTGCATTTCAGTTCTGAATACACACATTTTCCAAAGAATTGAAACCAAATATACATTTCAAAATAATAATTATTGATACTAAAATAAACAAAATCATAACACACAATAAAACACGATAAATTATTTAAACCCAATAACATTCCCCCGCGGGTCCGAACCTAGTATTTTTTTTTATTCTCTGCTATTGAGGGTAATTTCATCAACTGATCTCCTACCATATACAACTAATATGGCACTACATAAAATACAATGGTGAAAATGACAGTTTTAATTTTTTGAGTTCTAAAAGGGTAACTAACAAGAATCCCAATAAGATTCACTTCAAATAGCTCCGCAAAATATTTATTGGAGAAAGTCGAAACAAGGGTTACAGAAATGGGATACAATGTACAAAAGAAACAAGGTGTATCTTCAGAAGAAAAGTAGGGTTTGATACCACAAGTGTGGTCCGGATCAAAACCAAGATAGATAATGTATGAAGGTTGCTATTGGTACCATAAAGTGTTCTGAATCAAAAGTGAGATGAAGGCTCTGATACCAATTGATAGGTCTCAGTCAAGAGCTTATAAGAAAACCATATTTTAAATATTTTTCTCTATATATTTCATCATAAGATGTATGAGTATTTATACACGTTAGGGGTCGGCTATAGATCCGAGAATATAGGAGATATACATGAATCAAAGATTTAATATAATCTACCCAAAACTATTAACAACAATAAGACCATATATTATTCTCATCGTTTCTACCCTTATCTTAGTTGACAACGGTTTACTTCGGTTATGTTCTCATCAATACTCCACCCTCGAAAAGAACTTTATCCTCAAAGTTCATGAGAAAGCTCGTGCATCTTCTTGGATAGCTTCTTTCCGTCTCATCCGTCATGTGTCGTCTTCTCCGACTAGCTTGTCCGGGATAAAAGGGTAGCTTCCCGTGGCTACTATTTTTTTAATATTGAAAGGCATAGATTTTGATCCGAGCTAGCGTTGTCGTATCAAACCCTTTTTATTATCTTTCTTGGTTTTTTAACCTTCATCCATTATCTATCTTGGTTTTGATATGGACCACACATGTGGTATCAAACCCTATTTTTATTATATTTTTTGTTTTGATTTGGACCACACTTGTGGTATCAAACCCTATTTTCTATCATCTTGCTTTGTTTTCATCTATACTATAGTATTTGTGGAATCAAAACATTTATAGGAAAAAAAAAAGTGACGACAAGTCTGCTCCAACGCGTCTATAGCTTTGTCATCGACCATCAGGTCCAACATAAAAAAAGCTCGACAACGAGGAATAAGCAGAATTTTTGTAGAGGTTGTCAAAAACCTTGAGGACAAGGTTAACGTTCTATATAGAAATAATTACTAAGATATAACACAATTAGTAGAATATTACCAGATTGCGGCTGAGTTATGCTACTTTACAGCTGAGTTATGCTATAACTTAATTTAAATTACGGCTGAGTTTTTGTTTTTTTTTGTTATTGTTCACGCACATAAAAATATCTCCCTCTCGGCGATACCGACGAAGAACCCTCATTCCTGCCGCTTCTCTCTCTCTCTCTCTCGTCTCTCTCTCTCTCTCTCT